TGGTACTTCCTCATCGAATTTTTACAAGAAATTAATGCGTCAATTGTGATACCACATGGCTGAGCGGTCGATAGAGGGGTCGATGGGAAGAAATGAAGGTGGGTTGGGTCGGTGGGTTCGAGCAGGAATTAAATGAATGGATGAACGAATGCCCGTACGAATGCACGAAAGGCCGGCCGAACGGACGGACGAACTAACGTACGATTACTTACATGCATGATTCACAGTTTTCGGGAGCTGGCGCCCAAGTTGAAGCAGAAGTCGCTGTTTCCTCAGCAGGTATTTCTGAGGTAACCAGATAGAAATGCCCGCTTATAACGTATCAACATATATCATTAATTTCTTATTGTATGGTCCAACTTTTAAGCATCGGTTTTTTATAGCCCAATTAGTACACTTAGATATAAACCATACCTCAACCCTCCCGCATTTGGGGCTTTCGCAGGTCTTACACCAGGAAATGGAACGTAATATATCAAACATGGGAGACAGTGTTTCATCGGATATCCAAACACCGAGAGGAGAGTTGAAAAGACGAAGCGCAGCGGAGTATTTTTGACGAAATTCGAGGTGCTTGGATAGTCGATAAAACACTCTCTCGAAACAAAAACTAAGGAGTAAACGGAGAAGTAAAATCGTCAAAATCTATGCTTATTAAGACCGGGTATCCAAACACCCTTCACAGTTGTGATTTTCCTTTGTTTTNGAGATGTGAGTAAAAATAACCAGGTAGGTGCCTCGCATCTTATTTTATTCTCATGAGACAAGATTTGGTATTCTGAGGCGGATTGTGGTAAGCTTGGTCGGCCTCGTCAAGCGCCATCGACCTAACGAGCGTGAAAAATTATGATATTAAAACTGGTACGCTATTTGGTACTTCCTCATCGAATTTTTACAAGAAATTAATGCGTCAATTGTGATGCCACATGGCTGAGCGGTCGATAGAGGGGTCGATGGGAAGAAATGAAGATGGAGTGGGTCGGTGGGTTCGTGCAGGAATTAAATGAATGGATGAACGAATGCCCGTACGAATGCACGGAAGGCCGGACGGACGGACGGACGAACTAACGTACGAGTACTTACATGCATGATTCACAGTTTTCGTGAGCTGGCGCCCAAGTTGAAGCAGAAGTCGCTGTTTCCTCAGCAGACATTTCTGAGGTAACCGGCTGGAAATGGCAGGAAATGCACGCTTATAACTTATCAACATACATCATTAATTTCTTATTGTATGGTCGAACTTTTAAGCATCGGTTTTTTACAGCCCGATTAGTACACTTAGATATAAACCATACCTCAACTCTCAGGCATTTGGGGCTTTCTCAGCAATTATACCAGGAAATGGAACGTAATATATCAAACACGAGAGACAGTGTTTCATCGGGATATCCAAACACCGAGGAGAGAGTTGAAAATACGAAGCGCAGCGGAGTATTTTTGCCGAAATTTGAGGTGCTTGGATAGCCGATGAAACACTGTCTCGAAACAAAAACTAAGGAGTAAACGGAGAGCTAAAATTGTCAAAATCTATGCTTATTAAGACCGGGTATCCAAACACCCTTCACAGTTGTGATTTTCCTTTGTTTTAAATTGATGAATTATTAATGAGTTTGGGAGGAAAAGTTTCATATTCATTAAGAATCAAACTCTTCTGCCTCTCACTCAGTTTTGGAGATATGTATTAGTTTTCCAGAATACACTGACCACCATATTGGACTATGACAATCAATTAAGTGATTTTCACTTGCTTCAAGTAGTTATTTTCACATACTTCTCCATGTATAATTTTCCATATTATAAAGAGTTGGCTTACTACCCGTATTTCATGAAGGTGTGCCAATATCATTTTATTCCATACAGGAAACATCGGAAACACATGTTAGAGAGAAAACCCATCGGATGACTGCATCGAATCCGCCAAGTGATACCAGAGATGTCGTCCTCGACGTAACACTGTCTTCCGAGAATCTTGATAAGGTTAGAAATTGATATCTATGAGGAATTTTGTTTTTGCACGGCATATTTCCCTGACAGTTTATTGCTTTTGCATTCGCGCAACTGAAAAATGAAAGAGACAAGTTCCTTAAGTGCTTTGTAAAAGTGAGAAAAATTTGTTTGAGTGGCAGTTTTGTACCTTACCTTTAAGACAAAACTCTCGAAGACGGCTCAAACAGTATACTGCGTTTCTGAAAGCATAAGAAAGCATAAGCAAAGAACCAGACAGAGGCAAACACTATAGCATCTGTAACGGTATTGGGTAATTTAGCTTTATAAATAGAGTTATTCAATTCGATTTTATAGTGCGACTATTTGAACCGGGCCACCTAGAAGAAACCTAGCCGATCAGAACTT